CCAGAACGATAACAACGGTGGTGGTGGTGATGTTGGTCCTGGATTTGGTGGTCCTGCCTGGGGTGCCGACTGTACCGGGGACGGAGGAGACCAGAACAATAACAGCAACAACGACAATGATACCACTAACAACAATAACGACACTGGTGATAACAATAACACCAACAACGGCAACAATTACAACGGCTTTGGCGGTAACAACGGCTTTGGTGGTGGTGGTGGTGACGCTTGGGCTGGCGGAGACCAGGATAACAACGGAGGTGGTAATGTCGGTCCGGGAACTGGTGACGGCAATGGCAATGGCAATAGTAATGCCTGGGGTGCCGACTGCACTGGAGGCAACGACAAGCCGCCTAGTAACGCCGGCTCCCATAATGGTTCGAACCAACGCAGCAAGCCGCCTAGCAACACCGGTGGTGGTGGAGGCTCGAATCAGGGTAACAACAACAACAACAACAACAAACTGGACTGCAACCTCTCTTGACAACAACAACAACAACAACAAAAACAACAACAACAACAACAACAACACTGGACTGCAACCTCTCTTGACAACAACAACAACAACAACAAACCACAACAGTTGGGGCGGAGGATCGAATTCCGGAAACAAGCCGCCTAGTAACAATGGCGGTTGTAACAACTGCGGTTCAAACCAGGGCAGCAATAGCAACAACAACCCGCCTAGCAATAGCGGGAACAACGGTTGGGGCGGAGGATCGAACTCTGGCAACAACAACAACAACGCCAGCAACAGCGGTGGTTTCAATCACGGTAGCAACAACAACGCCAGCAACAAGCCACCCAGTAACAACGGTGGCGGCTGCAACAACTATGGAGGCTCGAACCAAGGCACCAAACCTCCTAGCAACAACGGTCAGGGAGGAGGCTCTAACCAGGGAAACCGGCCTCCTAGCAACAGTGGCAATAACGGATGTGGCGGAGGTTCGAACTCGGGCAACAAGCCGCCCAGCAACAGCGGCGGGAACAACAACAATTACAACAAACCACCCAGTGATAGCGGTGGTAATAGGAACAACGGAGGCTCGAACCAGGGCAACAACAGGCCGCCCAGCAGCAACGGCGACTGGGGTGGCGTAGGTCCAACTCAAGACAACAACGGCGGCTGGCCTTCGGGTTCGAATCAGGGTAATAAGCCTCCCAGTAACAGCGGCGGTTACAACAACGGAGGCTCGAACCAAGGCAACAACAGCAACAGACCTACCAGCACCAAACCACCCAGCAACAATGGCGACTGTAATCAAGGGAACAACGGTAACTGGACTTCAGGTTCAAACCACGGAAACAACCACAATACCAAGCCTCCTAGCAACAGCGGCGGTTCAAATCACGGCGGCAACAACAATAAGCCTCCTAGGAACAATGGTGGAAGCGGAGGCTCTAACCAAGGCAACAAACCACCCAGCAACAACGGCGACTGTGATACCTCAGGTCAAACTCAAGGTATTTATGGCGGCTGGGGCTCAGGTTCGAACAGTGGCAACAATAACAACAATAACGTCGGTTGGGCCACGGGCTCTAACCAAGGAAACAATAACTACACCAAGCCTCCTTCCAACGCAGGCTCCGCTAGAGGTTCAAATTACGGTCGTCCTCCTAGCAATAATGGAGGTGGAGTTGGGGTTCAGGTTCAAATCATGGGAACAACAATAACACCAAACCTCCTAGCAATGGTGGATGGGGCGGTGGTTCGAACCAAGGCAACAACAACCACGGTGGTTGGGGTTCCGGTTCAAATCAAGGAAACAACAACGACAACTATACCAAGCCTCCTTCCAACGCAGGCTCTGCCAGAGGTTCAAATCATGGTCGTCCTCCTAGCGACAACGGAGGCTGGGGCGGTGGTTCGAACAGTGGTAACAAACCACCCAGCAACAACGGAGATTGGAACCAAGCACCCGGCTTTGGCGGCGAAGGTTGGGCAGCAGATTGCACCAAGCCGCCTAGCAACAGTAATAACAACAACAACGATGGCGGTTGGGGCGGATGTTCGAATCAAGGTAACAACAAGCCTCCCAGCAACAGCAACAGCAACAGCGGAGGAGGAGGAGCGGGAGTAGGATGGGGTTCAGGTTCAAACAATGGCTTCTTCAAGCCGCCTAGCAACAACAGTGGTGGTGGTGGTGGTGGTTCAAACCGTGGAGGGGTGGCTCCCAAGAAGGTGGTGACCCAAGAGACAAGGAGATTCAAGCTTTAAAAGAACGAGTCAGTGAGGAGAAGTTGCAGCGTATAGATGCGGAAGTTTTTGCTTTGAGGATGGAGAACAGGGCTAACAGGTTACTGCGCCAGAACAAGCAGCATCAGCATACCGAGAAGGAGGGTATGGGTATGGGTATGGGTGTGGATATGGGTTGGAACACGGGTGGCAGCGACAATAATTGGAGGCCTCCTTCAGTTGCTGGTTCTGTCAGAAGTGACAAACAGCCAGGAGACGGTTGGAAATCCGGTCCAGCCTCCGGCGAGAAATGGAGTGTTGCCCAACAACAAAACTCGCCGGACTGTTACAAACCACCTAGCAACTCAGGCTGGGTTCCCAAGGATAATGTTCCCCCTCATGGTAACAAACCCCCCACTCCCAGCAACAACAATGCGCCGCACCCCCCTCGCACTCCCAGCGGTTGGGTTTACGGTTCGCCCTCGGAAAGCGAGCGGATGCGCACTGCCGAGAAAGTGGAGGGCTGGAAGGGATCGATCAAACCACCCAAAGGCGGCTGGCCTGCCGTTCCGGTTACGTTCAAAGATTCCCCCCGCCTACGTGAGAATGCGCCCGATGATGACAACAACACCAGAGCCAGAGGTCGAAGCCCCGCCACCGCTAGATCTTCAGCTTCAGCTTCTGGTAAAGATTGGAAGCAAGGATTAACTCGCGTCGAGGAGGAGCCGGATAACGACAACAACGGTTATGATATGTGGAAGAAACCTTCCAGCAACAAAAACGGAAACCCGGGTAGGAATGCGGGACATAAGTCAGCTGGTATCTTGAAGAACAACAACAAGCCTTCCGGGGAGCAATATGGTTGGAACTCTGGTCCTGATGCGGCTCCTGCTGGAACTGGTTGGGACAGAGGCTCGGACCGAGTCTCAACACCAAGCTTCAAAGCCCCCGAGAAGGACGAGTGGACTGCTGGAGGCATGAGAAGGGAAGACAAACCTCGTAACAACAAACCACCCAGCAATAACGGAGATTGGACTCCTGGACTCGGAGCTGCCGCTGGCTGGAAGGCAGATTGTACCAAGCCTCCGAGCAACACCGGCTGGGCCGCAGGTTCAAACCAAGGCAATCACAACAACAAGCCTTCCAGCAACGCAGGCTCCGCCAGAGGTTCGCAACATGGCAAGCCGTCCAGCGACAACGGAGGCTGGGGGGATTACGGACAGATCACAGGTGATTACAACAAGGCACCTGGCAGTGGCACCGGCTCCAACCCTTTCAAAGATGGCCTTCCTCCGTGGGCTGCAAACTGCACTGATCCCTGGGATGGTACCAAACCGGCCAACAACAACAAACCCGGCAAGGGAGACGACCAGAACGCCCTCAACATCCACACGGTTACAGACTTACCCGGTTACAATAGAGATCTGGCACCACCCATCGGCCTCTCTGGCCTCTCTGGCTTCCCTCCCGTCGTGGGCCATTATCATGAGCCAGTTCCTGTTAAGCCAGTTCCTGTTAAGCCCAAAACCCCAGGCCCTCCTCCCGGTGGCTACCCTTCCACTCCTTACGAGAACACTCCTCACCCACCCGGTTACTTGCCCAACACCCAAGCGCACATGACTATCCTCCCATTGTACAACAACCACCCGGTTCCTCATCATGCGCAGCAATACCCATCCCACAATGATACCGCGCCATGGAACACCTGGGACAGGGACATGGACGCCACCACCAAACCCGCCGTCATTACCACCAAACCACCAGGAGGCTGCCCTTCGTACGAGCCCGGCCAACGCAGCGCGCAATTCAGCAAAAAGCCCATCCTTTCCGAGGAAGACCTGCAATCCCTCTACCGCCAGGTCATCTTCAGCGCCATGTCTTCCCGCCAGCCTCTTCCACAACCCAAGCCCGACCGCGAATTTTCTCTCAGAGACTGCTGGGTTCTCATCGCTTTGCACGACCAGTACGATCGCGCTTCTGCTTCCAAGGAGAAGTGGTTTGATTTGCAAGCCAGGTTTGCGCAGGCTACGGGGGGGCGGATGGTGGATCCGAGGGTGTTGAGAGCCAAGGTGAAGCAAGGGGAGAAAGAGGCGAAGGTGGTTGAGGGGTGGGGAGATGATGAGGTGGGTGGGATGTATAAGAGGAGTTTGAAGTAGAGGAGATAGCGGGAGAGAAGGGGAGAGAGAGGGGTGGTTGGTGAGTTTGTAAGAGAAAGAAAAAAAAGAGGAGAGGAAAAAAGAGATGGGTGAGGTGCAAGAAACTCAGGTGGTAGAATTGTTGTTGATTAATGGAGGTTGAAAAGTGGAAAATGAAGAGAAAAGAAGGATCTGGAATGAACACCTCAGGATCCAAAGAAGTCTGGTCGGCCACGACTGCCACGGAGAGAAAAGAAGGATCTGGAGTGAAGACCTCAGGATCCAAAAAGCTTCGTCGGTTACGACTGTCACCGTTGCTCTGGAAAAGGAAGGAAGGAAGGAACGGTGAGAAGAATAAGGGAGAAGATTGAAGGAAGGAAGGAAGGAATGGAGAGGGGTTTTTATAGCGCCTTGAAGCCTCAAATTGCGGCAAGAAACATGTGACGCCAATAATGTACTTGTGTTTTCAATCCTTCCTGTCGATGAGCAATATTTGTAAATGAAGGCGCAATCAAAATGTAATGGTCGGCGCACATGTAGGTTTACCCCCCGGACCACACATGCATAGGTACATAGGTACATATGCGTACATATGTCGATGCTGCCTTCGGCTTCCGCTTGATGAGGCAGTCGGGTCGGAAGGTAAGGTAGTTAGGCACTCCGGACAGAGGTATTGGACACTCGAAGAACTTCGGCTGAAAAACACTTTGACGTCCAATCCCGGCATATCCAGTTGATAGCTAACAGATTTATGTGCATTTTCCATATCTTTTGGTGGCGTTTGACCTCGAAACCAGGAAGGCGCAGCCATGAACAACAGTCATGAAGTTTTCAAGTGGGAGGTTTGATACACCTCGGCCGGTTCAGTCGGAGACAACCCCGAGCTCAAATCAATGGTAGCTGAATGAGTACATGATAATCCTGCATATCTTTTGTTATCTCGTTGGTTGTTTGCATTATTGAACTTCTTCCTTGCATTAGGACAGCTTTTACATCGGTTCGAAGTACATCTCTACCTATGCCGCCCACCATCATACCTACCCATAATAAGCCAAACTTTAATGCCGCCACTACTGACCGACTGCCATAGGAAATGGCATTTCAATTCTTTCATTTGCTTTCGGCTAAGCAAATCTGCCGCTGGCTACATATTCCACGCAAGAAGCAGGAGGTGACCAAGACAAACGGCACGATAGGCTTCCATCCTTTCCACTCTCAGCGCAGATGAATCACGGCAACACTCGGCAACTCCGCCAACTATTTGATTCAAGGAACTCGTGTCCGATGCTAAACGCATGGCCACAGCTCCGCGGTGAAGTGACTGATTTCCGGTGAGCTTGTCTTTGGCCGTTAGTGGATGAGTTCTCGGGCCATCAAGCAGTGTCTGCAGACGAAACATTGCAGCATTTCCAATGCCCACCAGAATTTTTTAAATTTTTTCTCAAAACGGACGGCCTTGGACAAAATTGTTGGCGCGGTTTTCGGATCTTCTAGCCGTATACTTCCCAAAACCTAGGGGGTATTTCATTAAATAATATTGAACATGCCGCCCGTAATTTCTGATTTCGGAAGTTACAGGAGTGTTTTCCAGGGTTTTGGGGTTTTTCTATCCCCACGACGTCAATATAAATGTGAGTTCTCTTCCCTTGCTCTAAAAGTTCTTTCCCTTCTTCTTCTCCTTCCACCAACCACCAGAGGGTTCGCCATCCCTCCCTCCCTCCTACAAGTCAAAATGCTCTTTGCTGTCAAAGACCATCCACTATACAGGGCTCAGTTACTTTTGGCCCGCGCGGCCGGGGGCCTTGAGTCTCTTCCCTCCGGCATACAGAGGATGGATAAGGTGGCGGAGATATTCAGCACGCATATCCGGCCCCCAAGCCAGACCGAAGCCTCCGCCGCCTCCGCCGCCCCGGCTTCCACTCGCTCCCAAGATGGTCCCCAGCCAAGGGCCATGTTCCAAGCCCCCTCGGCCGCCTGCCGGGACTTTGATCCTTTCATCACCTCTGACCTGGGCGAGTGGATGGGCCGAATCAAACACGTGCTGAGTATCGCTCTCGGAAATCCTGACTGCACGGACGAGGACAGGAAGGAGATTGCAGACATCTGGCGGGACGACATTTGTAACGAGGTCAAGTATATTGTCGGGTTCATTCGGCAGAACAAGGAGTCCCTGGTTGCGGCTTGGGAGGCCGGCAAGCCTTATCTGGGCCCCGACACCAAGGCTGGTAGGGAGAGGATGAGGAATGAGCACCAAGCTAAGATGATCTCTGGGCTTGCAGAGAATACTCCTCGCGAGACTGTCAATTCTCCCAGAGAGAGTCGCACTTCTGCTTTCCCTGCTTCTTCCATTGCCGCTGCATCTCCCCGGGCCTTGCTCTTGACTACCCTTGATGACGCTGAAGCTAAATCGTACGCGGCTCTCGTCAACCTAAGGAATCAACGAGGGGCCTTGGAGGAGCAAAATATGCGACTGTATTTTGCCAACATTCACAAACAGATGTACGACTTTTCCCTCCCCTTAGATCGCGATTTTCCCAGAAGCAGTAATATTACCTCTACTGACGAATATTGTACCAGGGAACATTGGCGTACTTCTGCCCCGGCCACAGTGGCAAGTGAGGGACTGCAACACATGCGCCTACCTCGCTTCAAACAACACTCGACGGCCCCTGAATCGGGTTCTCTCGGCCACAAGGAGGAGTTTGTGGAAGCTACGCGGACAGCTTTGGGGTCTTTGTCGCTCTCGGAACAAAACAGACGGAACAATAATACCCCAGCTCCCGAGAGAGTAGGCCAGCAGCAGTGCAAGGACGAGGGTTACGACGCATTGGGTATGGGCTACTCATCACCCAAAGACGATGAAGACAACGGCCACGACAACGGCAACGACAACGACAACGACAGCGACCACGACCACGACCACAGCCACGACCACGACCACGACCACAACGACTACGACTACTACGAACAGGGTCAGGCCCAACCCCAGGACCAACACCCTTTCGAGCAGCAGCAGCAGCAGCAACAACAACAACATCAGCAACAGCAGCAACAACAGCAACAGGAACAGCAGCAACAGCGACACCAGCTTGTCGACCTCTCCATCGAACAGGATACTCAGAGGATGAGGGAACTGGAAACCTTAGCCATGAGAATGATGCGGAGATGTAAGGGCCACCGTCATCTGACTAATAAACAGATCTGTACTGACTCCTCTGATAAAGTGTATGATCCTACGGTGAACCTAAACGATCCTAACGATGACTACTCCAACGAAGGCGCAGGCCCTGCATGTTAAGGCCGGCTTTATTGAGGGTCTGCGTTTTGGTTAGCCATGCCACCCACCTACACCCACTCCCAAAGCCAACCCCACGCCAACTGTGTGAGCAGCAGCCTATATCTGGGAGAAGGAAACGACAAATTCTGCCGAGGCTGAGAAACACGAAGTTAGCCCCGGTCAGCCAGAGGAGCACGCCTACGGCTCCCGCGACACTCACACTCATTTGCTCCAATTTCTTTTGTCTAATATCTTTTTACTGCCGCGGGGCCGGAATCTCATCTAACACGTACACTGATGTGTTGGAGGCTGGAAAAGGGCTTGATTCTGGAGTTGTCTAACGGAAGCGGAAAAACGGAAACCAGGGCGGCCTAAGTACCTGGAAAGTGTGTGCCAGTGAATTGACAAGGCCCAAGACACGGACTTCCAACAAGATGCCGTGTCTCTCAACACATCTCCCCTCAGCAACTCTTCACGCTTCGTTTTGGGTTACGCACCCAGTAACGAATCTGCCTACGACGGTTTCGACAGTCGACACGCGCCCATAACCAACCGCAACAACAACCAAACTTAAAGGGGGGAAATCACCTAAACCATCCCCCCTAAACCCCATAGCCCGTAATGTTTTGGCAGTACGCTGGCTCTTAGAGGGACTATCGGCTCAAGGCCAAGCCGATGGAAGTTTGAGATGACGATTTCCTGACGGTTATCGGACTGTATCAACCCAAACGGGACGACTCAAAGAGGAGGTATGAGGGGGAGGATTTCTTTTGTAACTAGGAGGACTGCTTGTCTGGGCTTGAAGCGCCTCAGACTATCAACCAAAGTCAGAGGCGGCGTTTCGAGCTCTGACGAGTAGATAGGAAACAAGTAATAACGATGTTATGTTTTGAAAACGTCATGTCCACCGCAAACCATCGTGGCTCGTACTTGTTTCCTATCTAGTTCTCCTAGTTACGTGCAAAATGAAAATCTCCCGTCCCTTCAGGTGTTGTCAGACTGACACCAACTCCAAGACCCCCCCCCCCTTCGGAAGGAAAGAAACCTGGAAGTCTACAGAATACAGGTAACCCATTCCCCAAACCCCCCAGAAATGCTGACAAGTGAAATTCTAGTCTAGTCAACTCTAACAGGATTTCGACAATGAAGCAATCCAAGCTTCTGATCACGATCAATCACGCGAGATACGGACCACTCGCCACAAGAATGTGCATGCAGGTGCGTATCCCTAACGGCCCCCGACGCCAAAAAAAAACTCCTCCGAACTCCGCCACTATATGTGCATATGCGCAAAGCCTGCATTGCTGCCATGATTCCTGGCGTGAGGCGACATGTGCCAGAAAAAGATGAAAAAATGAAAAAAAAAAAAATTTTTGGGAAAATTTGTAAAAATATAATTTTTTTGGAAAAACTAGGTCACAGCCTGCAGGACCAGACTCGCCCCCTTCGGACATTCGCAGTCATCACCAACCAGTTTTAACCGGACGCGAGCGATACTGTCTCGGCTCGTCTTTTCCATATTTTCCATCTTTTCCCTTTTCTATCCCTGTCTTTCTCTTTTCTATCTCTCTTTCCATCTTTTTTCCCCCACTCTTCTTCTATCTCGCTCTTCTTCTCTCTTCTCTTCCCCCCCCTTCTCCTCTTTTGACTTCACTCCTTCCCTCACTCTTTCCCCCACTAAATCCCCACCCTTTTCCTTTTCCTCTTTATCTCTCACACACACAAACACACGAACCCCCCTCGTCAGTCAGTCAGATATAACATCCCCATCTCATTCCATCACTTGACCTCAATCGCCTTCACTTCACTTCCCACACCCCGCTTCCGTCCCAGTCGCCATCGTATTAACCGCATTACCAATACTCCCGTCCTGCATCCAATTTTCTCTACCACCACCACCAACACCAAGTTTACACTCCTCACAAGACTCAGCCATCCGAATCGTCTGCCAAATCTGTCGCTCGCCGCACCGAGTCTGGATCATGCTGGCCGACGGACAGAAGCGGGCGAAAGTGAGAGAGACGTGTTTGCAGGTGAATGCGTGGGCGTAGTATTGACACATTTTGCCTTTTTTTTGGGCTGTGACAAACTAACCTATGGGTGGGTGCGGACGGGAAATAAGGCAGGTAGGTACGGGGGGTGAAATCTGCCCGCTCGATCTCGATCTCGAAGCGAGAGAGAGATGTGACTATGATGATGGTGACGATGAGTTCTCGATCTCTCTTGAGGAGGACTGGAGGGTTTGAGACGCAGAAGGAACGGTAGGTGGGTGGGTGGTAAGTAAGTGGTAGAATCTCGGGTTTCGAGAAATATGATGCTTGGCTGATCTCTTGGATTTGAGATTCGGAGAACGGTAGGCGGTAAGTGTAATACCGTAAGTAAGTAAGTGATGTCGTTGACGATTCGCAGAGAGCTGAGTGATTGTAGTAGTTTGTCTGATTCTGAGTCAAGGTAGGTTACTTTCTTTGTCCAGTAGGTGGTCTATAGTCCGTAAGGCGAATAGTCCGTGGGTACTGAATGAAGTTGAGATGACGATATCGATGGAGACTGGACCCTGACATAGAACAGTGCGTCCATGGGTCCGGATTATAAGAGTTTCGACAGCACCACAACCGTCAATTTCTCGTTTTTGCAGTTTAGGTAGATAAATAGAAATGTAAATCTGGCCTTTCTTGCCTCAAGAAAATGAATGGTTTTCCCAAACCGCAAGAGCTGAAAAGAGTGGCGACAGTCTGACACGCCTGTGCACAGCTGAGATGTTGGACAAAAAAACGGTCGTTGTTATTTCCGTAGAAATCAAGTGTCTGGACATTGTCGTGCAGTTATATACGGATGAAAGAGTAAAGGGTGTCTCCAAGAGGCTGAGTGATTCCGTATTACCAAGTCCAGTGTAAGCTTCGCCGCACTCGCGCAGGCATCATCTACTGCGTACGGTATCTTCTCGTCCGTATAGAACAACACATTGTAGATTTGATGACTCATTGACCGCGCAGAAAATCGTCAACGCTGACAAGACAGACAGACTTGTGGTTTACCATAGTGTCTAGGTTCGGCTGGGTTTGCGACGACGATCAACCATAAACATACCTCGAACATTTTTCCCGCTCTTGAAGCCACTCCTGGAATTCCTGAAACTGACAAACAACACTCGAGTTATCCCGAATTGTTTTAGAAGACTTGGTGATGTTCGGACAAGATAAAACATGTCCAAAAAAGGAACCGCGGCGAAGTCTGAATGATCAGCGGTTTCATATTGTCACTCAGATAGGGCTGTATTCATACCTAGGCATGCAACTAGGCAGCCACATAGGCAGACAACTTCCCTACACTAGGTAGACATGGACCGGGCCGTTGGTAGTCAGATTGACATGTCAAATCCATAACGGTAGGCTGTCAGATGTAAATGCTTGGCGTTGGATGTCATCTGAAGTTGGAAACTCGGCGACAGAGCCTCAACCATGGGCCGCCCGTGTAAGTTCACACCTGTGAGCGGGAAGGAAGCTGAGATGTTGACTTGGCTTGGTTTAATGACTCGCTGACGAGGAAGATGATGGAAAACAAGGCAGCTTCTTTCCTGACCGCTTATCAGCCGTTGCTTCCTATTATTTGATCATTTATGCTGTGTAAATGAGATGAGCATGTTGTGTATGGAGCAGGAAAAAATAAAAAACTTGGTTATAACTGCCGGCAGCTAGCCTCGATATGCTTTTGGTGTTGAATAAGTAAGTAGGTTGCCGCGGCCGGATAATGACAGATATGATGTTCCTTGAACAGCCATCCCCTGTGCTGGCACCAATTGCAAGTGCCGGCGGGACTCACTTGAGCTGTTGAGCATCCGCCCGCTGCTTGTGATGATCTTCCAAGACAGTGACGACAACGATGAGGTACACAAGCTCAATCTTGACGTTCGGGAATTAGAAGAACTAGAGGTTGCAAATAGGTAGTACAGACTCGGAGCACAAGAAGTGAGACTTTCACACTTGTAATGGATGGACCAACACAACACCATGATAAGAAACCACGTAACGAATGAATCCGAAGGAACACAGAGCGTGCGGGTGCGACATGACGACGAAGTTCCATTGCAGCTTTGCGATGATGCTCGTGGCATCCAAGCAAGCAACGGACCACGAGGATGTTGGAATACAAAGAAAGGGGGCAACGAGTCCCCTTTTTCTGCGGTTTGTGCGTGCGTCTCTTTTTCGCTCCGAGGCATATCGATGGTAACCCGGCAGCTGTGATACGGAAAAAGAAAGGGATATGTTTTTTTGGAAGTGACAAGATGCTCTTTCTGTGATCAGTATCTGGGTGGGCTAGCGCTTGCTTCATCCTGATATTTCGCTTGTCGGCTCCTAGGCTCCATGTTGTTTGAGAGTTTCAGCTTCGACAGAATTGTGCCTTCCTCAAGCTAAATGTTCTGGGAATTTACTGTTTACCGGTAGCGGGCATTTTCAAGGACGTACTGTGTAAGTAAGGCGTAACCAGACATTATTACGCAGGTCGCGTAAGTTGCCGTAACGTACAGCGGCAGGCATTGGACCTGGTCTTAGTCCTTGCTGCCATTTCCACTTTTCGGTCATGTCATCTTTCCGGTTTCCAAGTGCTTGGTTCAACTTCAATCTCACATCAACATCCGCTTGACAACTGCGCCGCACGCATATCTCAAGAACGGCTTTCCGCACCATCTTCTTCCATCAACATCACGCACCCATCAATCTGGCATTTCCTCACTCCTTCTTGACCCAATCGATATCGGCTGCCCTGCATTGGCCTTTGATGGTGTCCTCGTGCCCTGATGGAACATGAACTGGGGGTAACCTCACCCGAGTACGCCAAGTGGGCTGCCCTGCCCGAGACGACGCACGCACTCTCAGGGCAACCCAGGGCATCATGCGCCGACCCAAACAGATGATTGAACGACGGCCGTGCCGGTGGACAACTCATCCTGCAGATTCCTTCGACGACTTCCATTCGCTTTTACACTTCAAGGCCGACCTATCGTCGTTCGCCAACCGCTTCCGTATGACATAAACCTCCGTCACTGTCGCATTCCGACTTTGCCTTCTGGAAGTCTCTTTTGCTTGTCCAGAGCTGCCCTGCTTTTCGAGACTCAAGTCGACCGCCGCCGCCATCGCCCGCCTTCAATCTCCGTGGAGGAGACGAGTTTGACGACGTTCCTTGGGTATTGGTCTTCGAGGTCTCACTTTCTATATCCCCTGGATCCTGGAATCCCCGTGGCTTGCGCAAGAAGCTCGGATGCCATCCCATGTTTCCCCTTTGCCAAAGGAGTTTTGATTGTGCCGTTGTTAAGATGCGCCTAAACAGCGGGGGGTCCTAGTATGAAACTCTGCATGGCCGCAACGTTCGTTCATGCACAGAATCCTCGTCCAGTGTTGCCCTTGAAGTTTCGCTGCAGCCTGCAAGATTCCATGTTCGGTTGGCCTGAATGGTTGGCTCTCACCTGCATCGCAGTCGCAGCGACATCGCAGCACATCCCGCACTTCTCTAGTGTAGGTACCTTACGCTACCTACAACACAACAGCCCCGGTCAAGCCTGAACCTCCGCGTTTGTCCCCAGTTTCCCGTCTTGTTAGCTCAGTTGGAAAGCCGCACAGGTTTCCCCCTTGTCTCGAGATTCACAATTCTTCGTGTTCACTTTGTAACATCTTCCAGCAAAGCGCTGTCCCCCCGCAGTGCGGCTATCTGCTTTTCATCTCATATCAATCTTATATCACAGTAACATTCGGTACCGCGCCCGCGGCTGTTGCTTCATGCCAGGTTAACTGCTGTCCACTGACGTTAGCCTTGCCGCCGCCCAATCGAACCCCCCCACCCAGGTCGGCTCTCTGCCCGTGGACAATCGACGGAGTCTTCGAACCAAAAAAGGCACAGGGCGCTGGAAAACGGGGCGTCTGACGTCGCAGGGTCTTGTGGGGGCCCACCTTCAAGGCTAGGCCTGTTGGGACTGGTTGCCAGGAAGCCAGGAACAGCTGAAGAGGTACCGGATACCTTGCAAAGGCACTGGGGCTCCCAGGACCTGCTTTAACCTAGTTCGTGGTTAGCCTGTTTCGGTGCTGCTGAGAGGGCTTCAGGAACCTGCTCGCTTCTCTGCTAAAGTCTCGCAAGTTTTGCGCTGCCCATACTTATCAAAATCGAATCCAGCAGGTGGTCCGTTCACACCGCCCCGTGTCTCTTTTTAAAGAAGCAAAGGGGGTCCTGGTCGACCGACGTCTGTTTCCCCTGCAGCAACCCGGGGCTTACAGGTACCAGTGACTCCAAGCCCTCCGGCTTGTTGGCGACGGCGATTGCGACCTGATTGCGACTGCGACTGCGCGCGCCACATCAATCGGTAAACACCTCCTTGAAAACGACCCAACACCGTCGCCATGCCCTGCCCCAGACTCGAAAAAGCCCTTCGTCTCCATCCTTGAGCCTCAACTCTTTTTTTTTTTCCTCACACGCCTCACTCCTTTGCTAACACCATTGCCGCCCTGAAGTTCCTGATTGGCCCGCTCTGGTGGACAGATTGCTACCTTGGTGGCCTCCCTCCGACCTAGTACATTTTGCTCTTCAGTCTGATACTGGTGAGTTTTCATCCAGTCAACTCATGAAGCACGCCAAGGCCGATGAGTTCTAAACAAAGCTACAGTGCAAACGTTCACCTTCACAAAGACTATATCTGATTGCCAGTCTCCCGCCGAAGCTCCGTCTTGAGCGAAGCATTTCATTCATCTCTGCGCCTGTACACCAACTTTCTCAATGCGAAATTTTGTGCCGGGGCCAACATAATATTCACCACTGACGCAACACACGAACCGAATTATCTCGGCAGTCCCTCGTTTAACTTTCATCTTCATTGGGCCAATTTGCCTCCTCGGGTAGCGAAGGGACAGCTCGTCAGCACTGAGCACGAGTTCACCACCAGTTTCATCCTCATACACCATTCAACTCTTGCCAGTTCGACTACTGGATTCGATACTTTTGGCGCCTGGAATTCGTCCTAGGGAAAGAATCAGTCGGATCGATCGCGAAATCTTGACTTCATGGCTTCTTCGGAGATCGACCAAAAATTTCTTGGCAAGTTTGCCCGGCTAGTCGAGAATGAAAACCCCCTGCTTTCCTCCGTCCTGTTCAAAATTCTTGGACTTTCGATAAACCTCTCGAGCCAGCTCATCACCGCACGAAAACAACGCCGACAAGACGGAGGCTCCGGAAATCCCCCATTAGACCTTCATCTCCACATTATCTGGCTATCGCGGGAGGGGCTGCTACTGCTCGATCAATATGTCCTGCCGTCGGTGACGCTTAAGAAGAATATTGAACTCAAAATTCTAGCATACAAGCTGCTAGCTTCGTTCTATCACATTATCGTCCTGTATCACAACACTCCGCCAGTCACGACGATAGGAACCAACACTCCGGAAGGCAGTGTAACGAATGGCCTCGACAAGGGAAAGGGGGTCGTGAAGAGCAATGGCACATACGGTCACGGCGCTTCAAAGTCGATATCTGAAGGGGGACCCGTAGGTCCACCACCTGGTTTTGGCCCACAATCACCAACAGGCTTCCTCATGAAGCCCGGGGACTACCTACCACTGGCCCAGCAATGCTTCACGGAAGCTATCGCGCTTGCCGAGCAGCACCTGTGGGGATCACATTCGCTACGGCTTTCGGTCAAGACGGAATATGCAGCTTTCCTGTACGAATGCGTTCACGATGCAGAGGCTAGCCGAAGACTAGCAAAGGAGACCGTTTCGGAGGTGTATGAGGCCACGGAAGGCATCGACAATGACATGTTCAACGACGCGTGCGAGCTTGTCACTGTCCTTGGGAAAATGATGAAGCGTGGTCTGGGATCGAATAACACCCTTCGAAGCAAGGGTCACGGAACGTCGAATTCTGGCTCCCAGGGGACACCCAGGATCGAACAGACAGAGGCTCAGGCACCAGTTACAGCTCCACCAGGGATGATATGATGAGGGAACTTGACATTGGATACTTTCACTCTGTCAATCCGTCAGCATAGCTCTGGAAGGAAGACCCAAATTCAGATGCCTTACAGGAGGCCGATGAGAACGTCCATTACCATGGGAGCACGGGAGCCAGGAACCATGAAGTGTCTTCCTATCGCAGGGATATGCCATTGGATTGAGACCAGGACGTCCAGAAACCTGGCTCAATGCGTCAATCATCGAAGCATTAACGAACGACTTCGGATCCCGGATGTCGATCTTACGTTATGACATCATCACCTACATACTATGTGTATCAGCCTTTTGTTGTTGTGATATATGCCGTATATATGCCGGTTTATACGCTTCGTCTGGAACTAGATCCACGCCGTCCTATATCACACGACATATACCTGTTGTCCGAGCACCTGGAGGCCTCGACATACAGGATGGAACGCAACTTCTCTTCATTTTCACAGCTTTTTGGGTTAGAGCATTGGTCGCGATACAACGACATCATGTCATTTCAGTTACGGGCTTGTTTTGTTCTTCATATTTTTCTTGTATAGCCATTGTATATGCTTTGCTTTGCCTTGCTTTGCTTTGCTTCTCTCAGTTTGATACCCAAACGCGTCTGTTCTAATCGACCGATGGTGTCTTCTTTTTCTGTGGCTTCTTGCGTTGATACGATTTGTTCTTGTGGGAGCCGGAAAATTTAGGTTGATGGGTTGATGGGTGGTTGTTTCTTTCTCTTTTTTGGATACTTTTTGTCAGCTGTTACCTTTCGCTGTCAAAACATAACTTGTAACTGTGTAAATACTATTGAAAGATCGTCGAAAGATGATGATGGGTTCCGTCCGTTATATGAAGGAGAAAAGCATGGTTCTCTCTTAAAAAGTGGTAAACGCTCGCAGTATGATAAGCGATTGGAACTAAGACAGTGTATCATGAACACGGTGACTGATTATTACCCTGGATTACTCTGTGCACAAGGATCAAAGTGCTGGATGTTACTCTGTTGAAATGGAGTGTCCGAGGAGACAACAGAAAAAGGATATTGGCCAAAAAAATTACGGATGAACATGAACCTCGACCCAAACCAAAGCAAGCATGTGCCCTCTTATGACGGAGATTTAAAATACGTTGCAGAGCAAACCCATCTGTAACCGGTTGAAACGCGATTCTGAGGTCACAGTTCTTCCGTAAGTAGCATTATTGACCCGTGGGGAATGTTGACTCCTTCGTGTGGTGTAAACAAAAGAAAAAGGGGTGAACCCTCGACCGAAGTGAAAGCGCGGGGAATCACATCTGGGTTAGGGTTGATTGCTAATCGCTCTCTTCAAATGCTTGGCACTCGGCGTATGTAACATTGAGTGCACTGCAGTGGCGGCAGGCATCCAAACGCTTCCCGTCCTGCAACTCGAACCCTCGACTTCCTTTCCAGAACATCAACTTTTCAACAACACAACCTCGAAAGAAGAAAACGCGAACTCGACGATTTCTTCTGCGAGCCACGCGAACAACTCATAATCGCCGTCGCATAACCATCATTGACCCAACTCAACTTCTAAATCGTCATCCGCCACATCGCCTACCGCACCGAGCGACACCTTCGCTTCCCTCGCCTCACACTCACCCACTCAAACAAAACACAACCAAACACCACCCGCCCGACCCGCGCGCAGCGAGTCCCCCCCCCTTCCTCACCATGGGCAAAGCAGAACCCGGCTCCGCCAAACACCTCGCCAACAAGATGAAATCTCGCGGCCTCAACCGGCTGCGCTGGTACTGCCAGCTATGCGAGAAGTCGTGCCGGGACGAGAACGGGTACAAGATGCACTGCCAATCCCCTTCCCACACGGCCAAAGCTTTGGAGGCCGGGTCCAATTTCAAGGGCGTGCAGGATACCTTTTCCGATCAGTTTCTCAAGGACTTCGTCGCCCAGCTCAAGACAAGCCATGGCGAGAAGGAGATCCACATTAATAAATTCTATCAAGAAGTGATTGCGAGGAAAGATCACGTGCATTTGAATGCTACCAAGTGGCATTCCCTCACAGAGTTTGCGAAATTTCTGGGCAGGGAGGGGGTTTGTAGGGTGGAGGAGAAGGAGGGGGAGGGGATTTTTGTTGCTTGGATTGATGATTCGCCTGAGGCGATGGAGCGCAGGGAAAAGGTGAGACGGAAGGAGATGATGGATAAGGGCGATGAGGAGAGGGAGCAGAAGGTGCTGAGGGAACAGATTAGGAGGGCGAAGAGGGAGGCGGAACAGAGGGGGGTGAACTTTGATGAGGAGGAGGAGGAGAGGTTGAGGGAGAGGGAGTTGAAGAGGAGGGAGGGGGAGAAGATTAAATTGAGTTTTGGGAAACCGGCCGTGATGAAGAAAGAGGAGGAGAAATCGGGCGAGGAGACTTCGGCGACGACAACACCAACGCCAACACCGGCTGGTGGAGATGGGTCACCTGCTGCTGCTGCTGCTGCTGTGACGGAGGACGAGAAGGATACCACCGCAACACCACCTTCGACGACGACGACGACGACGACGGATGGCGTAACCACCGAGCCGGCCAAGGCGGAAGGGAGTTCAAAGAGCGAGGAGACTGCTGCTGCCAAGACGACAACGGCAGAGGAAAGCAAACCTACGGCTGACTTGATGACTACGGCTGCTACTCCTGCTCCTGCTCCTGCTGCCGCTCCCGCCGCTCCCGCCGCTGCTGCTGCCCCAAAGCCGGTATCAATGAAGTTCGGCATGAGGCCTCAGCCGAAGAACGTCTTCAAGAATGCGTTTGCTGGAGCTCCCAAAAAGGTCATGGCTGCTCCGCCCAAGAAGATGAGTGAGGCCGAGAGGATCATGAAGGAGGAGATGGAGCGCAAGAGGGTTCGTGAGGAGAAGGGCGGAAATCTCCCCAGCAACAAGAAGCCACGCTTTCAGTTTTAAACCTCAGGTATTCTGGTTCGGGTGATCGTCTCATGATTTAGCAATGTATTTCGGCAGAGGCTATAGGCGTTTCGGGAGGTTATGTACTGTATAAAGATACCAATTTGCATTGGGAGGTTTCACAAAAATGGATCGGTAGCTAGTAGTAATGATAAACTCATCATCGGTAGGAGAGTTGTAATAATCCGTTTTTGATAATAGCCATGGTAAATCAAGCAACAACGGTGTGAATCAAGCAAAACTTGAAGAAATGACCGCTGTATCCTGCTTTCTAGATCACGCCCTTTAAACCATCCCTAGTAAACGCCTTGAACTCCCGTCGCCAACCCTTCCTTGTGAACAGGCGTTCCGCTCCTGTGTTGTCGTTGATCGATGTCTTGTTGATCCCACTTCATTTCTTTCTTCATGTTGGCTCCCTCTCCTCCTTTCTTATCGGCCCTGGTTCCCGTCTCGTTCTTCCAACTAGGCTTCTGACTTCGCAATTTCGTTTCTAGTCCGCCTCCGTCGCACTGCCATCGCGCCTGTTCCAAAGTTAGCTTCCGCTTGCGCCTCAAACCCCTACAGCCCAACCCTTTTCCCCCAGGAGAAGCCGAAAAGCCCTGAGAACTTACGGGATATACTGGATGCCGTCATCCTCCAACGTAGTCCGGACGTCATCCGGCAACTGGCCCGACACCTTGGTCGCGTATACACCCTTCACATAACCGTCCAACCTCTGCCACTTCGCCACCCACGACCTTTGCGGGTTGGCAATGGTGATGATTCCCTCGAAAACTTGCGACGTGCAGCTGTCGATCTGATCGGGCGAGCCTTGGAGATGGAGGAAGTCTTCGCAGTTGGGGCATCCTTCGTCACGGAAGCGCTGTTGACATGGGGAAGGTTAGTAATCTGACTACATAGTGATGAAGAGAGAAGGAAAGATGTCAGGCTTACAGCGTAGGTCATAACGATAGAGCAGACCATGCAGGCCCGAAGGTAGCGCTGTTGGCCGGGGGCGACGTAGTTCTCCGACATTTTTGGTTAGAGTCTCAATCTAGAGCTGGCGGTGTTGCTGATGGAATCTGCGGGCGGAAACCGATAATGGTTGTGCCGTGGGCCTGCAGTTTATGAATAGTACGAGCGAAAGAATATTTATCACTGGAAAACGACAGTTGACGGAGGAAAGATGTTGTTCTTTGGAGGATCGCATGTGAACATTGGATGTTCTTTGGAAAGAAGATCGCCCGCCTCCCAAGTTGCCTGCCGCGTCGCGCCAACCAAGTTGAGTCTCAAAGCCAGGAGGGTTGCTGTCTGGTCTTGGCACGCAAGGGTCGCACGGTCCAGGAGCCAGAGAAGCAGGAGAGAAGGTGGGAAAGGTGGGGGCCGAAGCTGGGGCCGATGGAGGTGGATAGTGGAGGTGGGACACATTGCCGTGCAGCTGGGCGTGGTCTCACAGTCACTGCACTCACAGTCAACTCTGTTCGCCGAGCCCGGGGCGTTGCATTCGAGTTCCATTGCGCTTGCCAGTGGTCGCTTCTTATCAATAACTATCAGCAAGGAGCAACCAGGTGGATGGCAGCTGTGCTTTTGACCCAACAGGGAGGAAAGTCAACTGCTGATACGGATAACTCTCCCGTCATTCTCGACACTTCCGAACTTTCTTCCACTTGTCTCGCTCAATCCGTCTCGATTCAACACGACGGAATCATCACATCTTCTGTTTGCTGCGCTATCGCTTGCACAAAGCCTATACAACACGACACCTGACGACGTCGTTCGAATTCCCGAAATCACAACCCCACCCGCGACCAGTGCTGGCGTAGCATGCAAAGACCCTCGACTGTTAAACCACCTTCGATCCGAACTCGGCCAATTACCCCGGAGAGCGGAAGATGAATTGATTGCACCCGGCGGAAAGCATTGTTGAACAGGTGTAGCAGTAGCAGCAGCAGACCGCGGTACCTAGCAGCGAAGCACCTGACGACCCCGTCCGACCCCCGACCCCCGACCCCCGACCCGACGACCACGGCGACCCCATCCCGTCACCAGCGCCAGCGCCAGCGCCAGCGATCGAACTAGGGAAAATGGGGAACAACCCCTCCACCTCCAGAGACTCCAAGACCCCGAATCCGACATCCTCCTCCTCTCAATCGCAGTCGCAGCACCAGTCGCAAACTTCGATCCAAAATGACTCTGCCAGAGCAGTGAAGCGCGACACCAAGCACCCCATACCGGTCCAACATCAGCGAGTCGCTGCCCCTCCTGAACCCTCCCTGACCCAGGCCCAGGGCACCGCCGTCCAGCCGCCTTCCATCAAACCCAAATCGCTGCACTCGCGAATGCCATCTTCCCAGAGCGGCTCACCGGGCTCGTCGGTGCCTGCCAGCTCTGTTACCCCCACCAAACCTGTCGAAGTCAAACAGCCGAGACCCGAAGGCAGCCATGAGCCCGCGAAACCCGTAGCGGTACCCGCTTCATACCACGCCTCGTCGTCCTCACCTAGATCGTCAGTGCGATCGCCGCTATCAGAGAGATCGGATGCTTTTGAGACTGGAGCCATGCAGATGAGCAGCCTGCAAGATGTCTCATATTTGACCAGGCCACCGCGACTACCTCTGCCTATTGAAGAAGAGCTTCACACGCCCGGATCGCCTATTATTGCCCCGACCGACATTGGGGTACCGCTCGAGGACGCCGACACTTTCACTGCGCTCACCAGACGTTTCTCCAACTTGAGTAACAGCTCGACTCTGGATGAAGAAGACACGGGTGAGCTACGGGTGGACAAGACTAGACCGACTGTCCCCACTAGGCTCGAATGGCTCCGGGGCGGCGAGAAGGTGTACGTGACCGGGCACCATTTTCCAATGGAACAGGAAGACGCGACTACACCCTGTGTAAGTATCTTTTTACGGCCCGACCGGTTGGGCTCCCATTGTCAACGGGCGCTTGCTGACACCGTTATTCGCCAAACAGTGAGGGTCGACCGGGTGTTTTTGCTGCCATCATCAATATCCTGCCAGGCACGCATCACGTTCGCTTCTTGGTTGACGGCCAGATGCAGACCTCGCCAGACTTGCCGACCACGGTCGACTTCGGCAACAACCTGGTCAACTACATCGAGGTCAGCCCTGACGATGTGGGACGCACCGCTGCTCAGGCAGCGGCCGCCGACAAGGATTCCCAGCAACCTACGGAGCCCAAGGCATCCGCGTCCCAGACGGAGGAGAGCAAGACACCAAGGGACCGACCCGTACCCCCGGCAGAGCTATTCGAGAACAAGATCCCGCAATATCTACTCGACTTCGATGCGCCTGAGGAAAGCCCGCCTTACCTGAGTGCCGACGCCATCGAGAAACTCCCAACGCCGCCTGCGCTCCCTGGCTTCCTTGGCAAGCCTATTCTTAACGCGGCTACCTTGATCAAGGATGACAATAGCGTTCTGAACATGCCCAACCATACCGTTCTTAACCATCTAGCTACGAGCAGTATTAAGAATAATATTCTGGCTGTTTCGGCAACGACGAGATACAAGAACAAGGTTCGTCTTCCAGTATTTTGTGCCCTTTTTGCACACAGCGTCCAATGCTAACGGATTGCAGTATGTGACAACCATCATGTACAAGCCAACAACAACAGAAGGCATCTGAGTTTGGAATATTAGTAGACAGGGCTGGGACTAGATGGCTGGTGGCTACCACACTAAATGAACAGCGCAAATCATGCGTAAAATAGCGGTGCAAAATGAACCGCCCGGTATGACGTATTCAATGTGTGTCTAAAAGTAATGTTGATACGACGCTGTAACGACGACCAAGGGCACTTTATGTAAGCGGGCGCAAACTGTTGTCAGCGAACTGTTCGTGTGGATTTTGCACCAGTAAAGAAGGTACTGAGGGACAGCAAGAGGCGCACATAGAATGGCGGTCCTGGATGGAGTAAAGGTTATGTATGGGATTTGGGGGTATCATCTTAAATGGTCATCTTCATCTTTCGTCTTCGTCCTTGTGATTAGTCCCTCCACTTGACGAAGACTTCGTCGGTTCTGAAGCGTTGTGTACATGTGCTTTCCTCAAGCGGCGTCCGGAAGCCCGTCTCGTAGGCCAACAAACCAGCATGGGCAATCATGATGCCATTATCGATGCAGAACCGTTCGTCCGTCGCGTAAACACTTCCGCCTCGCTCCGCCGCCATTGCGCCCATCATCTCCTGTAGTCGCTCGTTACAACCGACACCGCCAACAATGAGGACCTGGTTGCTGCCGACGTGCGCCATAGCCCGCTCCGTGATCTCGACAAGCATCGCAAACACCGTCTCCTGCAAGCTGAAGCACAGATCCGCCGGCGTAAACGGTTCGCCGTCAGGACCCGGCTCGCCAGCCTTCATCTGCGCCGCCAAGTCATCGGCCCTGCCGAGGATTCCACTAAACGAACAATCCATCCCCTTGACCGCGTACGGCAAATCCAACAGCACCCGCCCGCCCTGCTTCGCCAGCTGCTCAATGTTGTACCCAGGCGCCGGGTCGTTGCTGATCTCTAGCGTGCGCGCGAACCGGTCCAGGCAGTTACCGACGGCAATATCCAGCGTCTCGCCAAAGATGCGGTACCGCTGCTCCGCGTACGCAATCACCTGCGTGTTGCCGCCACTCACGTACAGCACCACGGGTTCGACGCCCCCGTTATCGCCCGCCCCATCTCGATGTGACCCACGCAGTGGTTTACGCCCACCAGCTCCTTGCCCCACAGCAGCGCCAGCGTGCGCGCGCCCACGGCTACCGAGGTCAAGGGCCCGCCCATCCCGGGACCCTTGGTGAGCAAATGCAGTCGATTTCAGAGATGGAGACACCAGAGGCCGAGAGCGCCTTCTTGGCTACGCGCACAAAGTAAGCCCGGTGATGTCGGGCTGTGTCCTTGGGTAGGAAACCGGTCCCCGGAGGAGAGACGAAGGTGTCGCGCACGTTAGAGAGGACGGTCGGTTCGCCGGTTACGGGGTCGTGCGCGATGATGCCAATGCCGAGCTTGTTGGCGGAACCTTCGCAGCCGAGGGCGATGCGGCGGCCTTTGGCGTCGGGCATTGTTGGTATGTAATGTAGTTGGGAGTTGGGAGTTGGGGCTTTGAATAGGTAGAGCGAGGAGGAAGAGGGGTTCGGCTGGTTGGTTTGTTGGCAAGCAAAGAGACTCGGTTGTTCTTTGTGTGTTCAATGGAGACGGCCGTATAAAATTGTTTTGTTGGTTGAGGATTATTATCGAGGACCTTGATGATACCTATCCTTCGGTTGTTGATTGGCGTCGCGTCGCGTAACTCTGGATATGGATAGGATGGGATGGGATGTTGTCAGTGCCAAATCCAATGCCAGATGTCAGATAGAGAAAGTGATTGATTGTACACAATGGAGGGGCACCTTTTTTAGAAGTGGAGAATTTTTCGTCGCGTTTAGTTTATGGAAAGGCTAGGCGCGCCAAAGAGTGATCGAGTTGAACGAAACTCGGGATCGGGATGAAAGAAGATGTATGGGTCTTGTTAGTCTCGGGATAATATCAAGTCTCTGGAGAGGTCAACTTCTTGACTACTTTTAAACGACATTTAGAAGCCATTTTCGCCGTTATTCACATAGACATGACAGCTTCATCATACGAATCAATCGGCAATGGGAATTTCGTCAGAGGTCCCTGGAATCGATGAGGGGTTCAAGGAATTGTGGGACCCCGCAGCCGCACTGCACTTAAGAGTGACAGTCTTGTGCACTGTGGGAACTTTATGTCGCTTTGGGAGAGCGAGATGCGCAATGCAATGTTATGTAAGGCAGGTACGTAGACCTGGCTCGTGCGCTAGTCGGTAGCGATTTACACACACCAGCCGTGATGGCGCAAACCTGATGTCCATCGGCGCAAAAAGACTCTAGAAGGCTGACTGTTTCTAGCTTCTTCACCATTTTGAGCTATTTTGACAATTCCATCACAGTAGGACGGGAGGCGCTCTGTGATAGCGAAAAAACGGTCCGCAAGATTCGGGGTCTGCCGAGCGATCCTGGGCTGGCGAGGCTTGGGGCTCTCTGCACGGGACCCCACTGCACCGAGAATCAATTCTCCCAGCCAAGCGAGAGTCCGCAGCCGTCCAACCATCTTCCATCCTCCGAGCCTGTATCACCCCAACACCTCACCTTGTTGCCGCCAAACCCAAACCTCCCAACCGCACGGCCTTACCTGCGTCTTTCAACAACCTAGTCGACCATCTCCTTGAATTTCTTCTTCAGCAGTCCTTTTCCTGCAATTTCTCCGGTAGACATGGCCGGGTCTCTTGTTCGGATCCTGCAAGCTCTCGAGCTCACGGTCCCGTCTGGGCTGGATTCGAGGCCGTGAACTCAGCACCACCCCACTTCGATGGGAGTGGAGGGAGCGGTTTTCACTCTTCAGGTATGTTTCCTTGCTTCTGTCGGCTTCAAGAACTCGCTTCGGGCAGAAAATTTGGTCCCTTGAGCAACCTGTCTGATTTGGACTTGATATGCCCGGTACCCTTGTGGGTGAACTTGGGCTAACCAGAACTCTGCACCACAGGACCACCAAAGCACCCACAGAAAGCTGGTAACTCGACACCTCCGCTCTTTCTCTCACTCCCGCCAGACTCGTTCTTTTTCTTCCGCCTTTCCGCTGCTTGAGAAATGCCGCCGTGGGTTGCCGGCCCCAGGCTCTGAATCACGGACCTTGCCCCAAGGCAGCAAGCTGGCCTTCAGCTAGCCATTGCCGCTCGGAGGTTCCAACCTGATCCCGCACTGGAGCGCCGTCAAAGTCTTCAGCTCGAGCCGTTGACCACATCAGCTTGCACAATACGGATTCACGAAGTGGAATGTTGCCTCCTTGCAAGGCAACCTTGGTTCGGTGATATCAGTCGGCGATCAGCAGTCCTGTCAGCAGCCAGGGTCCTGCACCAAAGGAGTAACGGTCTCTCGGCTCCGAAGCCAAGCAACGGGAGACTCGACCTCCAAGCCAGCATTGACGTCGAAACGGCCGGTCAATTTTCCTTGTCGAATTTTCTCTTTATCTAGCTTTTTTTTTTCACCTACATACTTTCGCGAGACCTCTGCTTCGAGGCGTCTCCACTCTCTTATCACCAAGCACGGCACTCCGAAAGCCAAAGGGGCGTACCCCCGTCTCTACGCTAAGCAGCGACCTGGCCCACCAGGGGCAGCACGAGGAACGCCTTTTCCCTCTCGACTTTTATCGTCGTCCTCCCAACTTCCTCTCCTCTTGCGCACAGCGTCTTGTGTCGGACCGCAGTTTCGATTGTTGGTTCCCCAACGGTCCACCCGGTTCGCAAATTCTCGCATGCCTCCGACGGATTCGCACATTACGCCCACCGTGTGTTACCTAAGCACCAATGTGGCACATGCATACGCTCGCGGCACCTTTTTCGGGACCGCCGATGACCAAACTCTCGGAACACCTCTCAAATCATTGCTGGCTTTCGCTGGCAACACCTCCGACCACACACTCGCCATCTTCGGGCTACAAAATCTCTGCCGCCCCCCGAGTCCTTCGACTGTCTTGACAGGCATCGAGGCCAACCTCCACGCTTACCCGCTCACCCGCTTTGTTGGACCATGATCACCTTTGTGGTCCAGCCCCTCGGCACAACACAACAACACCGCGAGAATCAACTGATGGGAGCCACAAGTGGTGTTTTACTGCTTTGGTGTTTCATTATTGTTGTTGCTGTAGAGCCAACTCGCGTGTCTCAGCTATCCGCCGCCGTCTACACGATACTAGTACGACTACTTTGTTTACATATATACATGAGTCGTTCCCCACTTCGCGCCAAATCTACACAAAAGCCGCAACCCAAACGCCTCGCCCCGGCCAGATCCTTCTCTTTAGCCCTGGCCCCATATCGCTAAATGCATCAATCGAGAGTTGAGGGGTATACACAGCAGCGGTCTTCCGAAGTTATGTCTTCGGCTGCTCGGCCACCCGCCCGCGAAAAAAGCCAAACGATATCTGAAAAAGATGACAACACAACACTCCGACAAACGCCGATATTATGACACCGGTTGCGCCTGTGGCTGCGGTTGCGGCTGCGGTTGTACTACTGGTTGTTGTGGTAGAGGTAGAGGTAGAGGTAGAGGTTGTGATTGATTTGGTTGTGGTTGTGGTTGTGGTTGTGGTTGCGGTTGCGGTTGCGGTTGCGGCTGTGGTTGTCCAGGGGCAAAGGAACCTTGGGCAAGTTGTGGTGGGATGGCGCCCGGAGGGATGAATTGCCGGTTGATGACCGGTGGGGTTGGTCGTGGGACTGTCTGGAGCGGAATCGAAGCACGGTACCTTAACGCCTTTGTGTCAAAGGGGTCCAGCATATACACGGGCGCGTCATCCTCGTCATCAGAAGATTGATCATACTTCCAGCGATCCGACTGCTCTTCGCTGAAATCTCGGGCTGGGCTGGGCAAACCACGGCGGTCGATCCACAACCTGTTCAACCGGCCGATACGACGACGATATGAGGGCGGATGTGCCAATGACTGTTCGTCTTGAGCAACGCCCCTGAATTTTACTGAAGGTGGTGGGTTGGGTTTGGGCTTATCAAGATCCATCGGAGTGGGCTCATCCATGGACCCTGAGGATGCAGACGCTGGTGGCGTCATGAGATACTGCGTCTTAGCAGGTCTGAAGCCCAAATCTTGTCTCGGGCCCTGAGGAGGAGACAGCGGCTTGCCAGTGAGATCGATATAGTTCTTGTTCCAGTCCATATGGTTCTGGACCTTCTTCTCGATCTCGATGATGAGGTCCGCATTCTTCTCAGCAAGACGATCCGACAGTTGGACAAGATCTGACTCGGCGGGACGGCCATCTGGGCGCACAGGCATACGGATCTGGGGAGGTGGAGCAGGTCGTTGAGCTGAGGGTGCCTCCGGAGCCTTCCTTTTCTGCGGCTGTTGTGCAGCGTTAGCATTGGCCGAGGTAAGTTTTGCGCATGTTGCCATCTGACTAACCTTCTGGTTGACTAGATCCTCGTCACCCGTCCTGATGCCTAGTCGGAGCTTCTGTTCCTTAATGATGGCTCGTTGGTCGAAGATGGCTCGTTCTACCTTGAGCATATCTGCCTTGAGCAGTTCCCGGTTATGGGCTGCCAGGATGAGTTGACGACCTTCCTCAAGCTCCTTCCGCAGCCGCTTGAGTTTGTCTGCACTCTGGACATCTCGGGCCCTCGTTTTGCGAGTTTGACGGATCTCTCTTCGACGGAAGCAGACATACGGGTCAAGCTCGTCGCTTTCCGCATGTGTCTCGAATTTGAGTGCAGGGTTGAGCGGTTTGTTCTCGCTGATTTCCCGGCGCTTCCTCCAGTACTCATATATCTGCTTGGCGTGGACCATGACCTTTGTGCTGTCTAGTGGCTCCAGTCCTCGCAACATCTCCTGATACGTTGGCACTGTCTGGTCTATGGCCGAGAAAGGCGTGATGCTAGCCGCCATATCCTCATACACATCCATGATCCTCTCGAAATCATCTTCGGAGAGACGAGCGGACGGTGTCAGTTTCAGGTTGTAAGACTTGAGGAACGTCTCATCGTCCTCGGTCATGTCATACATGCAACTGATGCATTCTTCTACCGTTTGGGAGAAACGGATATATGTGGATGTCTTGGCGACCTTTTGAGGGTAGAACTGGTCGTAATCTAATTCACTCTGTTGTGGAGGGGGGACAGGAATCTCCTGGTCGGCGGCGACTCCTGCCCCCTTGAGGACAGCCTGAAGATGGTATTCCTGGTGACGGAAAGGGTAAGGTCAGCAACCGGTGACATGAATGTGTGTATGCATGGTAGGTAAGGTGAGTTTGGTGATGGAGGCATGTTGGAGGCGCGGCAAACGGGTGGCACGTGCGCGTGCACGTGACCCCGGTCGCGATCAATCGGACATAGGTGTTCAACTCACATTTTCCTCGGCCTGTTCGACACCGGTGGCTATTTGGTTTTCGGACGTGAGTGATTCATATTCGGAGGCTTCAATTTGATCCTCTCTGAGCACCGCAAGTGGTGTTTTGACACTCAGTTTCTTGTACCGAACCTTGCGGGTCGCCATGGTGAAGGTGTGGGAAATTGCGGCAGAATGGCCTGGGGAAACCCCGACGATATTTTTTTTATCTCATGCGGGATTGCATGCGAAATCGAACCGTCGAGTTTTTTGATGGAAAACTCGCGTCGTGGGTGATATTTTGATGGGCAAAATCTGGTCCCTCGATGGAGTGTCGTTGAGGTTCGGCGCAGATTTTGCTGTTTTGGCGGCGGATTCGACGGCCAATGCACGGTCTTGGCGGATTGGCTGGGCTCTGCTCTTGCGAAGCCTGAATGGCGGGGGGAGGGGTTGAATGGGGTGGTTTTGGGCGAAGTTTTGCTGGTCGCGCTGGCTTTGCTGGCTTTTCAGGGAGGGAACGTGAGCGTGCCCACTGCCCGGGCCGTCCATGGTCTGCGCGTCCACTCGCACCGGTCAACCACCACCGCCCGTGGCCACTGCACTGTTTGAAAGTTGGAAGCGCGGGCGCGCCTCACAACCCGACCCGCGACGACTCCAACCTCGACCGCCTGAGGTTGAAGCTAAGCTTGGAAGACCAAGGCAGTGCCAGCCCGCTCCGATAAGAGCAATATCGTCATGTAAGGTAAGGATTGGCGGGCAATCTTACCGTGCAATCTTACAGAGAAGCGCCGCGGATTCAGCGATTCTATCTTGATACACGTTTTTGATCGTTTTCATTCTTACTATCAGAAGCAGATGGCTCTCGGTGGAATGACGATGCAAGCAAGCATTTGCTGGTCGTCATGGGCTTCTTCGAATTGAGTCCATCCCCGTGCTCAACCTGACAACCACTTTGATCAATTAAAGTTTGATACACCTTATAAAGACCACTTCACCATGCCACTGATATCGCATTGGACATTCAACGACAACTTGTGACCATATGAAGTCTTTGAGGCAGTTGACGATTATCAATGCATCGCAGTCAAATGAACTATGAATCCGAGGTGCAAATCACACTATGTGCAGCGGCACATGCGATGCATTGCGCTCAAGGAAACCCCAAAACGGTCAATGTTTTGTTTGGTCAACGAGGAGGCACGCGAACAGTCCCGACAGACATCAACCTTGACCGTCGAAAGGGGCAGCGCTGTTGAAATGAATCAATCAATGGGCTGATGCGAAGAGAGGAGACAGGTGGCCCGTGCACCCCACTTTTTACCCCACCATCCACCGCATCGGTCCCTCGTGCCTGCCCCCACTGTCCGCCTGCCCAGCCGAGCCAAAGGCCGCGGCCCGCCTCTCTTTTTGCCTCCAGTTCCAGTCTATGACCGCCAAAACCGAAAGAGGGACCTGGCTGCGGGACAATCCAGTTAGACCAGTGCAGGTGGCCGCCTGCCAAAACGCCTGCGAGTGGGAGGAGTGCGGGCTGCTCTACTGGTGTCAGCCCAGCGTGCCCAGGAGAGTGTGAATGGGTGCACTGCAGCTACACTACACTAGTGACAGCCCGAGCTACCTGGACCTTGACCATTTGTCAACCACCACCACTGCCATCCCATCTCAGCCTTATTCCTGCCTTGTCCAGACCCTTATCGACCCGGAGTTCGAACCCCTAATTCCTCCAACGGGTGAATACCTCCTCCCTCAAACATTTCCTTCACTGCTCAAGTGTTGACCCAATACCCAGCGCCCGAATTACTTGCCAAAAGAGCGACTAGCGATACGACCCATTCGCATTCGCCATCTACCGCCTTGAGCATCGCATCGCATCGCATCGTATCGCATCACATCGTTGGGCACACGCGCACATTGCTATCATCAGGAGGGACAACAGCCAGCGGTGGAAAGGAAACAGAACAAAACGAGCACACTTGTCGACGACGACCCATCCGCAAATTGTACGATCCCCGTGCATCCAACGTCTAGATCGAATAATACCACATATTCGCCGGCCGAAAGAATCCAGCATACACAACAACACAAGCAGCAACCATGGGCAACACCACCAGCTCCGTCCTGGACAACATTGTCCAGGGATCCAACTGTACGTTTTTGCTCAGCGACATCTTGATGATGTCTGAAGCTATATACACTTTCCTCGCGATATCCCGAACTTGGTCTCCCATCGGTGACGACGCACTACTATCGCTATTGCTTCTCTCACGCTACGATAAGCTTCGCGGAGATGGAGGATTTGCGCATCATATGCGACTTTCCTTTCCTTCTATCAGCACTTTTTGCCTGTCTTCTGAGCCCTAGTTCAAGATCACTTTACTAACACACCTTCTTTTTCCTACAGTCGACAGGGAAGAGGTTGACCGCTTGCGCAAGAGGTTTATGAAGTTGGACAAGGCATGTTCTACACCAACCATTTCCGTCCTTCTACCTTATATACACAGAAACCGTTGGCGCAAGTCAGCGAATACAAATTGGAGCGGTCAAGATCATGGTGTTGGTTGTTGGAATAACTTGGCTAACCGGCGGGGATTTGGTCTAATAGGATAACTCGGGTACCATTGAGCGCGAAGAGTTCTTGAGCCTACCGCAAATATCGACGAACCCTCTGGCCACCAGAATGATTGCCATCTTCGACGAAGACGGTGGCGGTGACGTTGACTTTCAAGAATTCGTATCTGGTCTGAGCGCCTTCTCGAGCAAAGGCAACAAGGAGCAGAAGCTGCGGTTCGCCTTCAAGGTGTACGACATTGACCGTGACGGCTACATCAGCAACGGCGAGCTCTTTATCGTGCTGAAGATGATGGTGGGCAGCAATCTCAAGGACCAGCAGCTGCAGCAGATTGTCGACAAGACCATCATGGAGGCGGATCTCGACAAGGACGGCAAGATCAGCTTTGAGGAGTTCACTAAGATGGTGGAGAACACGGATGTCAGCATGAGCATGACTTTGGGTGAGTTTCTGCTCCTTGACTTGTTTCCCCCCGACTGGCTGATGGTCAAGCTTGCCTCTGTTGGGCCCCTTGCTATTGATATCCGGAAGACCAAAAGCTAACAGCCAACGCTTTCCACAGATCAATTCTAGAGTATTTCCCTGTCTCGGTTTGGCTTCAGAAGCCCCCCGAAAGCGAAAAGCTGTTTTGTTACCTTGATACCTTTCAAGTTTTTGTGCTCGATGTTTTTTGCCCCTTCCCGCGTATTTGATTGATCTCTTGGCGTGTGATAAAGCAACGGTGACTAGCAGGTAAACCAACCGGTGGGATTACCTGGAACGAAGAACGATGTTGAGGAAAAGAGGAGATAAGGAGAAAGAAGAGATACAAGTCCCCGTGCCCCTTTTATGTCAACTGAGGCGCTGGGGGGATTTGACGAAGAAATGAACGAATCGGACATAACACACAGGATTTATCTCTAATAAAAAGGCGCAATTTTGACTCCCCCAGAGAGTATCCCATCTCCCATCCGATCCTCGGCAACTACGCTATGAGCTAACTTTGAGTGAGTGGGATCCGATCGATCGAGTCTGTAAGTGAGCGTGACCAGTATCAGTGAATGAAGTCTACTTACCACTCACTCTTTAGATGGATAGCAGTAGCGATCTAGACAGGATCTTAACCGACAGCCATCACACCAACGATCGATCCTACCATTCAGGTTTATCAGATACTCACTCCCCTTTCGCTTCTACACTACACTACACTACAATACCAAAATACACCCTTGGTATGTCCGATCGATCCTGGAACCTTCAGTCAGCCCCCCAGGTCCCTGGTCTGGTCCGGTACCCGTCTACGGACTTCGGTTGGTCGGTTGGTCGGTTGGAGTGGCAAAAAAATTCGAAAGGGACAAGGGGGTTGGTTATTTTGCGCGGTCGGTACTTGGTTGGGTCCGTAGTGTATATCGCGCATGGGACATGGGAGGATGGTGGATGGACGGAGATGCCTCCATCCACTGCCTGTTTGACTGTGCGGCGTCAATGCCGACGACGATGCGGTGATGCAGTACGTCCGCTGTCCACAAGGATCGTACTTACACTAGTCGTCGGTCGTCCTTCACACTCTTGAACCCCGGCCCTCGGGTTCATGGTATGTGGGTGATGGTACGGTATAGTATCGGAGACTTTCATCAGTCAGGGTATCAATCAACTTGCGCTCTTTGTTCTGTCCCATCCACCCACCCACTCATTCGAAGAACCTCGATCGATCGATACACGCCCATGCTTTGTCGGGCAGGGTCACGAACGAACGAACAGGCATGAATGGTAGGGTAGGATAGAGTAAATCCACATCCACCACCCCCTCTCCGATCCGAGTCCGGTCCGGTCCAAGTCCGAGTCTGAGTTTGCTTTCTTTGAAGCAGGTTGGAAGCAGGTCGGTCAGAGACATGGAGAGTCCGCAACCGTGTGCTTGACTGACAGACATACAGACCGTAGGGTAACACAAGTACCGTTCTGTTGGGAACTCACTTCCCTGTTTCACTACCATACCTATCCACTATCCACTCTCCATGGCTATGTACTGCGCAGTAGGTCGGAAGCACACAACGATTGGGGACATGGATGGATGGAGGAGGGCTAACTAGTGGGCTCGGGTGGTCCGCACTTCGAGAAGAAGAATTATAACCGTCAAGTACCGATACAAACAGTCAGACAGACTTGTAGTACCAGGGATGGGGATGGGGATGGGGATGGGGATGGGAACGAGATGGAATGTGGAGTGTGTACACAGTAGATGGGACGGCAAACGGGTGGGGAGGGAGGGAGGATGTGACAAGTCACAAGCAACGATGGGTAATATGGTATAGGCGAAGTACCGGTACAGTTTCGTTGAAAACGGAGAGAAGTGACAAGTATCGATACCTACGAGGTCTGTCTGCCGTGTAGGTGGGAGAGATCTCGGAGGCTTTGCCCAATCAGGGATACTCGCGGTTTGACACATGGCACGAAGACACGAAGAAGCGAAGCGAGTGAAGGACGGCAAGGGGGAGGGGTAGAGGCTGCAGAGGCGTGAAGCGAAGGCTGGGAGAAAAGGGTGAGTGAGGTCGTCAGTCTGTCTAGGGACACTTCCCTCCTCTGGCATGGAAATTGCAGGACTACACTAGATGATGGATACCAACGGAAGTGAGTCACAGTCACCAACAGTGGTCCTTCCTGGTAAGTTCTGGCCGGGTAGGTAGGCAGGTAGGTCCTTTATCCGCAGTGTGTCTGTCTACCTACCTCTACCGAGTACCGGTGTCGGACACTGAATTTTCACGGAGTGTCACAAGGTACCAAAGACTGGAGAAGAAGAAGACCAGACCAGTGGCATTGATGGAACATGTAGAACTGGGGTTGGGATTTGTAATGAAACGCAGTTTGCCAGCTCGGCCCGAGTGTATGTATAGTGGTACCGTATTTCCAGAGTCGATTTAATTTTACGCACAAGTTGCGGGATGAGGTGACCAGGGACCAGAATAGGAGGAAGCTGTTGAGCATATGGCGATGGAGTGTATGTACTACGGGCCCTAGCGGACTGAGATAGTGCTGTATCGAAACCTTGACGAGAAAGGTTCAAGTATGGGATGCGAGTGTCCACTGTCCTGTTCAGCATGTGGATGAAGTAACTGGCGTTTAGATATCGTATGGCTCGATCTTTGTCGACATGGTGTTTACGGGCTGCAACTTTGGCTATGGCAAGTAGAACAATGGAAAGAGGATAATTGGTGAAGAAGAAAGACATTCATTTCGTTGCAGATAAACCTTGTGAGTGCTTCAACCCATCGTAGAAATCCGCGAAACTGGCTTCACCGAAGTGTAAAGGCAAGCTCTTCGTGTTACATAGTAGTGGCAGGCCTATAAGGCGTAAGCCAGACCCCCAGCATTGAAACGCACCCAAGGTACTGTGGTAGGCAATGTTGCAGAGCTTTCATCAACCGGGCGACGGAGTCCATCTGCAGACGTATGCCACTTGTGATACTGAGCTATCGCGCGCAACTCTAACAGCGAAGGTATATTGTCACTCTCGCAAATCTCACTGTTTGGACGGTTCTATTCCCAAGATCCGAGGGCTCGGTGATGACGGAGTTGACGAAGTCAGAAATGAAATGTCAGATACCGAACATATAGATAGGTAGTCTGGTTGTACCTTTCAAGGTCATGACGAACATGTCTGTAGCCGGCTGCACTAGAAGAATGTTCGACCACCCGAGTGCCCTTTCCACTTCTATCGTCTGATGGGCGGAAGGTATGTATTTCAATGGAAGGGGCGACTGAAGGGAAATAAATCCCACCCTAGACGCAAAACGCTCAGCCGCCCAAGCCTCGAATTGAATCCCAGACCAGCTGCGACCTACAAAAATACCCACGCCAGACCGCCTCTGCTACTAGAATTGTTTGGAAAGTTTTGTACTGGAAGCTTCCATTATATAGTCCGAGTACACCTATTGTAGAGAGAGATCCTGTCCGCTGGAAGGAGCTACCTGTCCCCGCGGACATACTGGTCAGGGCTCAAAGCCTCTCTTCCCAATGGCTCATATTTTCCCTGCTATAGAATGCAGCTCTAGACTAGCTCACTGGTAAAAGCGATGGATGAGGATTTGATCTGTACAAGTTTCCCTGAAGGACTCGGGACTTTTTTTGGTCTTCTTCGCTACCTACCTCTTTCTGTTTTGTCACTAGACTTCTTTCTTTCGTCTCAAACAAAGTAGGTAATAGGTACGTAGTAAGTACTCTGGGAGTCACAAGCAAGTGAATGTCTGCTGAACCTCTTACTTTTTCTTTTCAGATCAATACTTTAGCCTCCATGCTCCAAGCTTCTTTATCCTCATCAGGGGTACTGTAGGTATATCACCACAGAACCGACCAAGGTGTAGCGCAAAATAAGCATACGGAAAAGAAACCACCGGACTATGATTCTTTGCAGAGTAAGTTCAAAAGAAGTAACATCCAGGATGTTGTTTGTCGTCCCTTCACACGCGAAGCTACTAATGTCAGACACCATGTGAACACTACAAAACCGGTGCTACTTTTCTGTACTGTGTTATAGCTTTCGACCCTAGACCTTTTTCTCTGCACGACTTAACTACCTATTGTTTTCTATCTCTAGACTATGTAATTCTTACTCACCATCTACAGTCCTTGGCCCAGTAGTCACGTTCCTCGAGTGCCAAGTTATCATAACATCATGAAGTCATCCATTAACTCCTTCCTCTTTATGGAAGAACAGGAGTCGGTACTGTCTGCTTGTCAACCTTGGACATGTTTAGCCAAGCCACTCAGCGATAGGTACATGCTGGGGACCTGCTAAAGAACTAAATAATACTTGAATATCGAAAGGTTCAAAGATATCTTACAAAAATCATGTGTCAACAATAATTCCTTGATGGTTCTATGAGCGGATATAGTAATGCCACATTTATAACTTCACCCAGCAGATACAAACAACACCGAAAGAATCAAATCAAGGTTGATTGACACCTGGCAAATATTCCTCAAGTTGCCTTAGGTAGATAACCTCATGACCACAAGCATATAGGTAGGTATAGTATCCTATACACAAGCGAGAGACCATAAGACCTTGTATCAAAAACCCAGCAGGCTTGGTACTCACATCAACTGACCAGGAGACACCATCCGTCCAATGTATCCAGCATTTTAGCTGACACTCATGTTTGAGTACAGCGAGCTCCATAAGAACGTTGTAGCTGGGAGGCTGTCCGTCTGCCCTTCGTACCTACTGTATTCAGAACTCGCCTCCCCCTTAACTACCTAGCTGATGAATATTTTGTATAATGCCGTCCAGCCAGCCAGTCAGCTGGGCAGTCAGTCACTCAGCCATCGGCAAGTCCAGTCAGTCACCCAGCCGGTAGCAATTCATTACTCATCACAGACGTCATCATTGTCGCTTTCAGGTACACGTCGACAAGGAAGTTTGATGGATTGATAACTAGTACTTTTGATACCTACCTCTAGTCAATCATACCTAATCAGTGAAGTTTACCTATTTCCCACTTCACATTCCATTCCAATACCAACTCAACCAACCAACTTATATCTCCTTGCCCCATAATCCTCTTCCT